AAGATTGCAGCAGTCATGGGCGTCATACGTGTGCTTTTGTTTCCTTAGCAACAAGCCACTTTTGGAAACAGCGGGAATAGAATGGCAGCTCAGGGATTTGGCAGGAAGAAAAAAATAGCATACAGATGTGGCTCACACATATTGCTGGATCATGTGGACAATGTGCTTGAAATAATGGTTGTTTACAGGAAGGGCACTTTGATGTATGGATGGTGGTTTATTTATAGTCCCGGTTCACACAATCACATCAAAGCTGGGAGATATGTAGAAATGTGCTTTGCAAATGTGCCCATGAGTACTGAGATTAAATAGTGGGGGTGGTGGGGGGGCATTTTTTGTGCTAAGCTGTCTCGGTGCCTTCTTCCAAAGCATGAGAGCAGTTCATACCCAGCTGTCTACCAATGGTTTCCTTATCAGCCCAAGTACCCATTGGTAAATCATGGTTCGCATTTTGACTGTATGGTACCATTTGGGAAGATGCGGAATACATTGAGCCATATTTTGGCAGAGTAGACCCATTTCAATGAATAGGAATTACATTTATCATGAATGACTTGTGTTCCATTGCCTTCAATGCTTATTCTCGAATTATGATTGAAGCTGAATCCAACCTAGTGATATGATGCACTAAACTATAGAATAGTTTACGGTTCAATCCTTTTCCCTGAACCTCAATTCATGAGTGCATTTTCTCATGCAAAAGAGCACACTCCAATGGAAATACATAGAAACAAAGAAATACAGTGAGTCAGAAGGGGTCTCCTGGGTCATCTAGTCTGACCCCCTGCTCTAGCCAGCTCCACTCATGACATGCCACCACGTGCATGTCCAGTCTATCCTAGAACTGATGGGTACCAATGAGTACCAATACCTATAGGTACCTGAACTCAGAGAATTATGGGCATCCTGTTGGGGATGGAAGATACGCAGAAGTAAAATCACCTCTGTATTGTGCCTGCCACCAAAAGCTGTCAGCTGGTTGGTTTTGACAATATTGTGTGTGTGTGTGTGGGGGGGGGAGGTGCATCTACTCCAGAGTCTCTTCCACTGATCAGGGAGTGCTGTGGCAGCATTTATGCAAAACCCTGTTCGGGTACATGCTAACGAATGGGGTGCTGTTTCCACTGTATTGAAAATGCAGTCTTGCGTCACACCAAAAGCCATTGTGGGAGAAGTAGTAAAGCTGATGTGTGCCAGGAATTGACCCTTTAAAGTTGTGATTTTCTTCGCCACTCACTCAGCTCCTCCTGATGCCTCACAAAAATGGAAAAGGAAGAGTGGGTGGAGTGGGGGGGGGGGGACCAAGGTACTGCCTGCTCCCACTCTCCCCCTCCCAAGTGAGGAAGCCAGTGGTGCTAGCTCATCCATTACCCACCACCCAAAAGCAATTCTCAAAAGCAATTGCGGCTCCTGTGTGGACTTTCCCAAGAGTAAGGACCACTGAAGATAATGTGGTTTACTTCGGAGTAGACATATATATTGGAGCATATTCAGCAAGTTGTTCCTTGAAATAAAAGGAGCAAGGGGAAACAGGAAGACATTCCAATCTGTATTTTCTCAAAGGAGAGGAGGGAAAAGAGGCACTGGACTTATTCCCAAGTTCACCGGGCAAGTCAGAGAGCGTGAGAGAGGCGAGGAAGCAGCCAACGGCTGATGGAGCTTCTCTCTTTGGCAGACGCACTGCTGTTTTGTCCCAGCTGTGGGACTCTTCTTGCCCTCTTGTCGGGCTCCTCCCCACCCCCTCCAAACGCACTGAAAGCTCTCCTCTCCTCTGCAGAATGGTACTGCAGTTTTGCACACACCGAAAGCTGTGCCGCTGGCAAAACAAGACACACAAAGGCGTGACGTAGCTGGTCTGAAGCTGTCCCAGGTATAATGACAGGAACAGCACAAGGAGGACAGCTTTGCTTCTGTGTCATGTGACATGTCAGTGGGTCAGGCACTGGGAAAGGTACCTGATGTAGATCGCCCCCTGTGCTTACTCCTCTTCTTCGTGTCCCCCAACACTGGCCCTGAGGTCACTCTTCTAGCCTCTGGGTTGCAGCTGGGGCAGAGAGAACTGTGCCTGCTTCAGGGATGTGTGGAGAATGCTTGGTGGTCCGGGTTCAAATGCTCCGAGGTCTTGGTTGTGTTTCCAAGAACAGAGCAGGAATTCCAGCCTTTCTTAAGGCTATGAAGACAGCCTGTACCGGCCATGGGTACCAGTTCAGACAGATGGATGCAAACAGTAGGGCACTGCTTCTCTTCCATCTTAACCCACCCAGCACCATCAATTCAGAGAGTAAATGTTGTTGAACATAGACCAGTCTTCCCCAACATGGTGGGGGAGTTATAGGATTACCCTCCGCCCACCCCGTCTAAACATGCCTAGGTTTGCTTCTTATTTTTCTCCTTAAAGCAGAAAAGAGCTTATACGAACATCTTAAGTAACGGTTGCAGGTGCAATCCTTGTCATAAGAATAGGAATATGACACCTATGCAAGGGGGTCCCCCTTTTCCTTTGTCAAATAAGTCTTCCCTTTTTTGAGAAGTGGGAAAAATCGCCCATTTATGGCACAAGGTCCTCAGTCGCTCATTACATTATGAGCATGGTGGAGAAGGGAGCGCATGGACGCTGCTTTATCACAGCTAACAAGACCACCATCCATGGGAATTCATAACCTAGCTCTGTGACATCAACCGGCCCTTTGGTATATGGAGGAGTGGAGAATTATGAGAAGCATGATGATCATCGATGGGAAACAAGGGTAGAGCTCCAGGTTTTGGGGGGCTTCAGGCATGGTGCTTTCAGTAGGGCTGCCTTCTTGTCCAGGGCATCACTGTCCGTCACTTGCTCTCTCCCTGTGACCCCAATTCACACAACGTCCTAGAGGGATAGCATAAGGGAGAGTGGAGGTAATGTACCATCTCTTCCCTCTGATCACTGCTGGTGTATCCTGGCAGGACAGGTGAGCAGGCAGTGACAGCAAGAAGGAGCGGGAGCAAGGGCCGGAGTTCCCAGCAAGGCCAGTCCTGGGCCTGTGTGTGTGTTTAAACAGCGGCGTCTCATGCCCAATATGCTATAGACTGGGGAAATCAGGTGCAATAGCTTTGCACGTGCTCCAATCACAGAGCTCTTCTTGGCTTCGACATCTATACCTGGATGGAAAATTGAATGAAGGCAGACCTCATGAGTGATGCAGCGGTGCACCATTGATTCCCCTTCGCAACAGGCCGAAGAATAGAGACATTGTTTTTTGTCTCTGTGAAGGATTGTGAATGCTTTCAGAAGAAAGGGCTACTTAATCACATTGATGGATGGTGGCATCAAGGCTCTTTTTTCTAATGCTAGGGTTGTGCACTCTTAGCAAATGGCATTTTCTGGAGCTTCCACATACATATTCTTGGACAGCCTTCCAAAATGCCAAAAGCACACTCTGCTGTGATAGTTAAGAGGGGCATTGTTTCTGAATTAACAATCATGAACACCTATTGTTATAGCTCAGCAAGGGCCATATTTTTAGAAGAGCACATAAAGAAAGAAACATCTGGTGTCCTCAGATTAGTTCTAGACTACTTTTAAACCCCCTGTGGCGTTTAAAAGACAATGTGAATTACCACAATGGTTGCTACTAAAAATAAAGTCTGGAACTATAGAATGCAGAGCACTCTCAGGAGTGTAAGTTTATTTTTTATGCATTTGCAAACATTAATAACTCATCGAAGGCTTCATGCACATTACTGATATATTAACATCCCAGTTTGAAGAACTGTCCTTTATACATGAAGTTCTCATCTTTCCTAGCTAAATAACTGGGCACAGAGATGGTACCCATGTTTTGTTTTGCTCACCTACATGGTATAGCTCTTTTCTTAGCTCCGAATAACATTTCATTTTGTTCTGAAAACAAAATGCGGAGTGCCTCCAGGGTAATGCTTGCTTTCTTTTTAAATACACCCCACCTGCATTTTCTCTGCATAGTGTTACCAACGCTATAAGCATGTTGCATGTGAAATGTTTGTCTGCCTGTTTGCTTATTTATTACATTTCTGTACTTCCTATTAGTCAATGATTTCTGTGTACTTCACAAGACAAAGCTTAAAACCATAAATAACATAAATATAATGGAAAAGTGTAAGTTTAATACTGAATAAAACTGAAAAAATAACCAAGATAAAAGCCGTCAGAGGGCCAAACATCTAAAACCACATTAACACAAATCTGAAAACTGAAAATCTCAAAAGTAGAAGTGGAAGAGGTATTTAGGATACAGTCAGAGCTGCCAGCACGTGCTTGTAGTGACCTCTGTTGAGACCTGACAAGTTTCTTGCGCCTTTTGATCTTTATTCAAGTAAGGAGTGCTTTCCTACAACTTCGACTGATCCATCAGCTGCGTCCTTACCTGGATGAGCACTCCCTGGCAACAGTGATACATGCTCTGGTAACTTCCTGCTTGGATTACTGTAACACGATCTATGTGGGGCTGCCCTTGAAAACGGTCCGGATTCCCCAGCTGGTACAGAACAGAGCTGCCAGGCTGCTGACGGGGACCGGCCATTACTCTCACATAACGCCGGTCCTCCATCAGCTCCACTGGCTCCCAGTTGAAGTCCGGGCCCAATTCAAGGTGCTGGTTTTAACCTATAAAGCCCTGAACGGCTTGGGACCAGGATACCTGGAGGAGCGCCTCTTCCCTTACACGCCCTCACGCCCCTTATGACCTGTGGGAGAGGCTTTCCTCTGGAAGCCCTCTTTAAAGGAGATAAAAAGAACAACTATCTGGAGCAGGGCCTTCTCTGCGGTGGTGCCCAGGTTATGGAATGCGCTCCCTGGAGAGGTGCGCCTGGCACTGAGTCTATATTCCTTTCGGCGCCAGGTTAAAACCTTTTCATTTAATTGCTATTTTAAAAATCAATTTTATAATTAGCAGTTGCTTTTTTGTTTTTATATAATTTTACTGTTACTGCTTTATTGTTTTAATTCTATGTTGTAAGCTGTCCTGAGATGCTGAGGCATGAGGGGACGGCATATAAAAGTTTTAAATAAATAAATAAATATTCACTTCCTTAAGATTGTTGTAATGAGGCAAAGTATCAATGTCAGAAATGTTTTTTTGGTTTTGCAGCTCACATATCACATATGCCTTGGACTTAGCTTCTTAGGTAAGTTACGTTTCTTTGAGCATCTCCTCCTTGACTTCTGGAAAATGAATATTTTCCATGAAGCAAGCAGGTGAGAATAAAGGCTAGTGAGACTACAAGAAAAGTAAGAACCTAAGCAAGATGAGCAGATAGGGGCAAGCACTGAAACTTCCTCTCTAGTTCTCAAGTCCAAACTCCAGAGGTAGAAATCATGCATCATCCTCACTTCTAATTCTGACAAATAAGCAGGTACGTGTAAACTGGCCTCAAACGGCTGGACATGGAAACACTGATGTTAGTCTTAGGCTTTTTTAAAAAACTAACTTCTACATTTGTATAATCTACATTATCTTCTTACAGGTGATTTCTGCTCTGACTATATGATGTCACATGATGGCTTAACTAAATATTGTTTATGTCTAAAGCAGCTACCCTGGATTTAGAATCAGTGCCTGGAAGTCCTTTGGATACCCTTGCAGATGTGCTAGAACCATTGGGTCATTATGAGTGGACTTTTCGAGAGCCCAGTAAGTGAACATTGCCAATGTGTCCTTACCAGTTCTCATTCTATTGCTGCCAGACAAAGATATCTAATGGTACCAAGTGATATATTGTAAAGCCTACACACTGATTTCCACAGTCTGTTTCCACATTCTGTTTGCTTGTGATGCTCCAAAGCTGCTTGGATGAATCCAGCAGTGTTCATCCATGCATGCAGGGTGGCTGCTTGTGGAATAGGAGTGCTGCATCCTTTCCTTCACATCGCATCCTTCTCCATGCTGTCCAAGTCCCCCCTTGAGATCACCTGTGATATAGCGCTATTATTAAGCCCTATAAGTCATTGTAAAGCAGTAATATAGAAATCTAGACATAGAAACAGAGTGGGTCAGAAGTGACCTTCCGGGCCATCTAGTCTGCCCCCCAGCTCTGCTCATGACATGCCTACCATGTGCATGTCCAGCCAATCCTTGAACACCCTCACTGATGGGCCTCAACTACCTCCCCATGGAAGCTCATTCCATACCCAGGGGTCCTAACTGTCAGGAAATACTTCCTGGCATCCAAATTGAACTTATTAGGTCTCAAGTCTTTACTTTCAAGTCCAAGTTGAGTCTCAAGTCATTGCAAGAAATGTTTGAGTCACGTCTCAAGAGCCAGCCCATCCTCCCGCTGCCCCTGTCCCCTTGGAACTCCCTCCCATTGCCTCCCTTGTGTGAAAAAGAAGAACTGAGCCTTGCCTTCCTCCTTTGCTGTGCTTGGTGCCTGCCTTCCAGCCTGTCATCGATGCCTTCTGCTGAGATTGCCCCAGGTTATCCTGCCGCACATTGGATGCGGGTGGCAAGCCCTGGAGCAACTTGGAAGTCTTGAGTCAGGTCGAGGCACTTGCTCTTTGCTCCAGAGTCGAGTCTAAGTCAAGTTGTTCAAGATTCCTGAAGGAACATCTCCCTCCTTATATGCCCTCATGCCCCTTAAGATCTGCCGGAGAGGCCCTGCTCCGGGAACCCTCCTTGAAGGAGGTAAAGAGGATGTCTACTCAGAGTAGGGCCTTCTTTGCAGTGGTGCCCAGATTGTGGAATGCGCTCCCCAGAGAGGTTTGCCTGGTGCCGAGCCTATACTCTTTTTGGCGCCAGGTGAAAACCTTTTTATTCGAACGTCATTTTAAGACTTAGGTATTTTAGAAGTCCAGTTAACAGTCACTTTCTCTCTCTCCCTCTCTCTCTCTCTGGAATGTGATTTATTCATTTTTAATTCTGACTGTATTTTTATTAGTGTTGATTGTATTTATTATGATTATTTATTTATTATTGTCTATTGTATGATTGGTTTTTTTATTATTGTTGTTCATTTTAAACTTGTAAGCCGTCCCGAGATGCTGCCGTGAAGGATGGGATACAAATGTTTTATTAAATTAAAATTAAAATTAAATTAAAGTTGCTGACTCAATTTGAGTTGGACTTGGGAGTGAGGTGCTTGACTTGAGCCCCAGTGCTGTTGTGAAGCCATACATCCTGCTTATAGTATTATGGGACTGGGATACAACTGAAATCAGTGGATGAAAACCAGAGCAGTGAGTCATTGGCCCAAGCTTTAGGACACCTTGTGTTGATTTTCACGCTGAAAAAGTGTTAAGCAATTGAAGTCAATAGAGTGTAAGTGGAACAATAAGCTAACAAATCAATAGTAACTATAACCCAGCCTTCCCCAACCTAATTCCCTCCAAATGTCTCAGGTTACAACCTCCATAATCTTGACCATTGGCTATAATAGCTGCAGCTGATGGAAATTTAAGTCCAAAATATCTTAAGGGCACCAGGCTGGTGAAAGCTGCTTTAAATCATGACCAGCATTTAATATATGAGTCATCTTCACCTTAGAAGTGTGGAGACACTGTGCAAAATATCAAATTAAATTGTTTTATTGAAAGTAAGAAGGAAAACTCATTGAGTGGGCTGAGACAGAACAATAAGTCACATTCATGGGTTGACCCATGGGTTGTTGCTGAAATGTGGGTCCCTTTGCTGTCTGAAACAAGCCAAAATAAGACACCATGCCAACACCTCCCACAGTTCATAACTCAGCGAGAAGCTATGGGCCCTCTTCATGGATTGTTCACGGCTAACAAATCATGGATTGTTAGTACAGCTGGGTTTGGACAATATGGTAACCTAAGTCTCAACCCACATTCAAACCATACCCAACCCCTGAGTATGGGTTATCATGTTGCCTGAACTGAGCCATTATTTCTGTCTACATATTACTGCACTTAATCCACTGGGAAGGATTAAGCCAGTGAAGGATTAAAGACAGAAACACAGCAATAGGAGAAGATGTCACCATATCTGAGTGTTGTCCTGTTCAAAGTTGGAATGTTTGATCAACACCTATTAAGAGTGCCATCTAATGCACCCTCAGTGCACATAAGTTTCCAACCTTGGAGGCTTCTGTGTATGCAGTACACAAAGGATGCCTTGGTTATCCAGCAGAGAACTCAACATGCTAGATCCTTTGTTCAGCAGATTTATAAATGGCTATCAGCCATAAGTATGAGCTAAAGGTAATACTGCCATTTCCAGACATTGGACATCCTTGCCAGCTAGGTGCTGAATATTAGCAGTGGCGTTAATGTTAAATTAATCTTTCATTCCCTGTTTGCTTCTGGAACATTTAGCTGGAAAATCCTAACTACAGACTGTTCAATGAAAACACTTCTTATTTTGAAAAGAGCCATAAAAGATTTTCCTTTCACCTTTTCCATGTTATTCTTATTCCTGCTTCACTAATGTCAGGAAATTATTGAAAATGAAGACTAATTTCTCTTTCAGTGCTTCACTCAGGCAGGAAAAAAATAATTCCACCTCCAGAGATGACACGAAAGTTCAGTGAACAGAGAAACAGCCCTGTCTTTCTGGAAAGCAGGTAAGACTTGTTTTTTATATCACAGAGTTTACTTGATCAGGTCTGAGCACAGGTAAGAATGGTCTCCCAAAGAGGATGTTCCTTGTGTCCTCACGCTGAATCCCACAAACTGTTGCTTCAGTGCAATGGGTTCATGTTTTTATATGGGAGAATTTTGTTTGACTGAATATCTAGCAGAACATAAACTGCTTATGTCGAAAAAGAAAAAATAGCTACGGGGCACTATGCCACTGCTCTAAATCTTGTTTCAATAATTTGAATGACAAGACTTGTTAAAGAGCAGCAAAAGCTTTGGCTTGTCTTCTACAAAAGAACTTTTATTTTATTTTTATTTATTTATTTATTTATTAATTAAAACATTTCTATGCCGCCCCTTGCCGAAGCCTCGGGGCGGCTTACAACATCAAATAAAATACACAATACATTAAAACAATAACAATTAAAATATATACAGTAGAATAAAATAAGCCGCCCTGGCCAAATAAAATTCAATAATATTAACATTTAAAATGCTGCTTAAATAAAAAGGTCTTCGCCTGGCGCCAAAAAACAAATAACGACGGCGCCAGGCGGACCTCTCTGGGGAGCACATTCCATAACTTAGGCGCCACCGCTGAGAAAGCCCTCCTCCGAGTAGCCACCCTCCTAATTTCCTTCACTGAGGGCTCCCGGAGGAGGGCCTCTCCCGCTGATCTTTCTGAACTAAACCATCCATGCAAGGAGAAAGGAAAAAAGGAAGCAGTGAATAATTTGTCCATCTAGCCCCAAACTAAGCTTTTTTTTTTTTTTACACGAAGCTATTCATTCACTGTGTCTCCTTTCGGTTTAATTGAAGACCAGAAATCCAAGCACAAGTTTTCCTTTCCTGCTTTTCTGCTGTATAACCTCTAGGTGGCAGTGTGCTATAGACCATCACAACTGCACAAGTAGGAAGACACATTTTCTTTTACTTTGACGAATAATGCTGTATTTTTCCTGTTTTAAAAAGAACTTGGGAAAGTGCTTCTAGTAAACACATATGACTCTGGAGAGTCGTGATGCTGTATGCAGGACATACAAAAAACCATGAGTGAGGAACCATGAGTGCACAATATATGGCTCTTGCAGAAAAGCTCTGAAAGAAGGAACCTTCCTCGAAAGAAAAAAATACTGTGGGGAAGTTCTGCTCCAACATTGGCTGAGAGCTAGATAGCTCCACTGGCTCATGGATGTTGATGGTAGAGTCAGACTGCATGCCCATCACTGCAGTGGGGCCTAAATGCAGACCTGCCCCCATTATTTGCAGGGTGTGTCCTTCAAGAAGGAGGCGTTTCACTGTGGCCTGGCTCTGCCAAAGCACCTCACTGTAGATTTGCAGGTACTTGGGAAGAAACAAAACTACCTGCATCAAAGATGATACACAGACTATTGAACACAACAGTGAAATGTGGATGCAGCATATAAAGAAGGGAAAGAAAGCTCCCCTCCCCTTCTCTTTAGCTTGTTGGTCTCCGGAATGCTCAGGGGCCTCCAAAGGTTCTTGGGTGAGGGATCTGCCCATTCCTTTCCCAAACCTGAGAATCTGCCTATTGCCATGGATTTTCTACAGTTCCTCTTGCCCACAGTAGCCGAGTCTGTCATTATGCATACAAGCGCCCACTCCCCCTTCTGGGAAGGAAGCTGTTTCAGTTAGGCAAACAGCTCTGCTCTCAGCATGGTGACAGCCCTTATCTGCAGAATGACTGGGGAAGGCAGCCTCAACGCAATCTTCTCTGGTTATCTTCCCAGCAAGCTAAAGGCCGGAAGGCCTTGGCACCACATGGACAGGGGCACTGTGATGGCTTTTGGGCCCTGGAAATGTTCGCCACGGTACCTGCAGATCCTCAGTCAACTCCTTGCCATTCTTCTGGCGCAGCCGCTACGATGCAGGGGGGCAGTGATCGCACTGATGGCACCATCACGAGGGTCGAGGTGACGTCAAGAATTGTCCGGCCATTCATGGCTATTTGGACACGCCCTGTCTTTTTTTATAGCATGGAATGAAGTTGTGCCATGCTAAATAGATGTAACAAACCATATTTCCCTCTCATATAAAGCTGAAACAAACCCAACCTGCTCTGAGTAAATTACAGAAATGTGATGACAGTCTTTATTTTCACCTGCTTTGCTGATAGCTCTCATCTATCCTGCTTTGGTAATTGCTTCACATCAGGGCTTAATTTTAGTCAGCCTCATCTGTGGAGCGGGAGGGCTCAGGGCAGGAGCGCCTGCTTTGCCTGAAGCAAGTTCTGAGTTCAGTCCTGGCATCTCCGGTCCAAAGGGTCAGTGGGAGGTGACGCTGCTGCTTCTCTGGATAGACAACACAGGGCAAAATGGACATGTGGTTTGGCCTGGTTTAAGAAACCACTTTTGTTCCTCTCTGAAAGCTGGGTGCAGTTTTTGCGTGTAAGAGGGTCTCATGGGCACTTCCTGTTTTTTTGGTTTTCTTGAATGAGAATTGTTTGATTCAACATGAAGAGCCCGAGGGAGAAACAAAGCTTGTGGGACAGGTCATGTGGGGACACAGTGAATGCAAAAGCAAAAGCCATTAACCACAGTGGGTGGTGTTGAAAACAGCCTACATGCTCTGGGCAGCAATCAGAAGGTGGACTTGCTATTTGCCAGACTTCGCACAGAGCGATAATAAAGAAAGCATAACTTTTCATAGAATTGCATTGTCTCCACCTGTTTTCTTTCAGGAACTTCTGTCTCCTCCTCCTCCTCCTCCCTACTACTATTATTATTGCTATTACATTTCTATACTGCCCCATAGCTGAAGATCTCTGGGTGTTTACAAAGATCACTGACAGATTATTTAAAGGGAGGAATTTCTGAATAAACGATCAAGTGTGTGTGTGTATGACTGATTGTGGCAAAGCATTTTGGAGTTCTGCACCCCTGTAAGCATTCGTCATTCACATATGCTTTAGAAATGACGGTGTGCTGTGCTATTCATCTTTAGGATCCCGAAGATGACATGCAACGTGGCCAGGGATGCGCTGCTTGGCTTTGTCGATTCCAAGTGCTGCTATGGCAACAGAGCGGCAGGAGAGCTAGTCATTCAGGAACTGAAGCAGCAAACACTGTACCGAGTGAGTATCCCCAGAAGATGGGTATCCAACCGGTGCAAATTAGACAAAGTGAGGAGTGTGAAATCCACGCCGATAGTTCAGTATTCAAATCCTTTGACTGATTTCAGTGGCTCAGATGTGAAGAGAGGTCACGGATCTCAAGCATGCTGCGGGTGGGAACTCAGGCTGTACCTGAAATCCCTCCTCCCTGATATCTATTGTGCAGTGACAGGTTGTGGACATTCGGATATTCACTCTGCATTGTTCTAAGGCATTCCTCTTTTTCATACCTTCACACACCCAAGAGCTAAGTCCTTGTAACAGATATAGTTTTATTTATTTATTCATTTATTTATTTAGGGAACTTCTATGCCACCCCATTCTCTGAAGCTTCGGGGCGGCTCACAATCAAAAATAAATAACATAAAACAATATAATTTAACAGTATAAATTAAGTCACCCTGGCCAAAGAATAAAACAAATAAATAATATTAACAATTAAAATAACGTTTGAATAAAAAGGTCTTCGCCTGGTGCCGAAAAACAAATAACGACAGCGCCAGGCGGACCTCTCTGGGGAGCGCATTCCATAGATTGGGCGCCACCACAGAGAAAGCCCTCTTCCAGGTACTCACCCTCCTAATCTCATTCACGGAGGGTTCCCATAGTTGTATATGCTTGATTCCTGGTAAATAGAGGCAGCGACTGAGCATGCTGGACTCCTCATGTCACAAATTATCACAAGCATTTTAAAGATGACACTAATACCTGATACCTTATGAAATGTTAATAACAGCAACACCATGGGTGGCCCACCTGCTGAAAATCATGTTCAGACAAATTCCATTTATGCAAATAGTATTACCTGTACCTGCCATTTATCCAAGCAGATGTGAAATGCTAGCAAAGAATGAAATGGGAAACAGCAAGCCATACCAGTGGCTTACTGCAGTCACGTACTGGAAACGTGGATTGCAAATATGTGAACACTGAGAGTTCAGAGTCAAAGTTCAATTCACATGACTCTTCCAAGAGCTGGTTCATTAGTGTAAATGTCTTACATACTTTTTGGTAATGTTTATTGGATCCAGTTTGAATCCAATCTCAAATTTGAATCCAATCTCAAATTTCTACTGGTTAGAACCTTTCCATGATAACTGGTCAGTCCTAGGGCCAAATTTGCAACAATCTTGCTTTGCCTTTCAGTTACCAATCCCATTTCCTCTTATATTCCTTCTTCTTGATTGGAACACCAATGGGTGTACTTTGTTCAAATTCATTCACAGCGTGGAGAGGAGCAGGTCTTGACAGGCACGGCATCACCCGGAGGAATCCTGGGGCTGTTTCTGGAGTCTCGGCACTTCAGCAGGGCTCACTAACATGAGCACTGCAGAGGGCTCCTTGTACCTGTTGGATGGGTCTGGGAAATTACCATTTTAAGCATCCCACAGTGCTTTGCAACCCCTTATATAGCACTGCCCCAGGCACTGTGGAAAACTGATGTGGCAGCTTCCCAGGCTCTTCCTGCTGCCCCACCCCACCCCAAGGGCTCCCGAAAAGGCTCAACTACTTTGCATTTTGCTCAGTAGTGGGACTCATGCTTGGAGCCAGACCTAATCCTTTCAACTGAAAGGCAAAAAAACAAATACTCATAAAATCATGATATATTACTGCATGGAATTCTAAACTTTTTGGATATTTTCTCAATAGCTAAAATTACCAACTTTGTATGGTTTATAAGGTAACAGAAATAGATATTCAAAAGATGGCTATATTTACGATGTTCTGGAATAATAATCAGAAATATTATCATGTTCCAATAATGATAATGTCATCGTGTTCCATTTAGAGCAAGTTTCTGAGAAAATCAAATTGACTGCATTCCAGAAAATTCTGTATCTTTATGAGCTAGACTGTGATGGGGAAATGAGGCATTTATCGTGTACTTGTCATTCCTTGCTCATGGTTATTTTTACTTTCCTTAAAATGATGTTATGAAGCTCGTTTCACTTTTGTGCCAAAAGAACACTTTTAATGAGATGTCTTCTTTGTGTGGGGGAGTGATATTATTTGAAAAATGAAGGAAAAACTTGTTTTGACTTGTGTATTTGTGCTATCCTGCTATTACACAGTGCCACCTAGAGGTTATCTAGCAGAAAAGCAGGAGAGGAGATGCTCTTGGTGAAGTGCATGGATCTCAAATATGTAACTTACTTGGAAATAGCTAAAGCACAATAGCAGTCCTGTGTAGAAAAGACCAGAAGAACATAAGGAAAGGAAGAGTGAGGAAGCTGGGAAATGCAGTCAAGGAGAGGGCTGAAGATCACCCCAATTCCTAATTGCTTTTACAAGGTGTAGGATGGTGTGGTCTCCAGTCTCTAACATTGTTTTCCTGCAATAGCCTCAGGCAATTCTGCTAGCTGACTAGGGCTTAAGGCAAGCAGGTATATTCAATTTTCAGCATCACTTTCCATAAAAAGCATTTGGTAACAAGATTTCTTTTTTTGCAGTATCGACTGGAGACCTTTAATGAAACAAGGTTGTGTGAATGGACTTTTGAACCTTATACCAGTAAGTGATTCCAAAAGTAATTGGTTTAGATTGTAATTAAGTCACTTCAATCCAAAACGTAGCATTCATTTTTGTTTAATTCAGTTCAAAATATAATTCGGGGCACAGCAACTGAATACAAACAACAACAAGAAAAAGAATTGTCAGTATGCTATTGTTCCATTGTGCATATTAAACAGAACGTACAAAGGTACTTAGGGCTGATTATTTCTGACAATCCAAATGTATTGTCGAAATGTTGTGTGTAACTTTACTTCATTTGTCAAAAAGTCATGCTCAGTCCTGAACCCTGAGATCTCTAGCTTTTGTTTTGCATTTTGTCATGGTGAGTTAGGATAACAGGCATATATGGAGAACTGATTCCCTATAGCATCTGTCCATGAAACCCAGATAATTTATTGAAAAGTGCTATCAAAAATCTGAACCATTAGCTAGCAAATGCCAAACCAATAATCACTGAACTGGGCTAGATCTAATAAATACTGGTCATTTAGAGTAGTCGCATTTAAATGATTCAGAATTAAGTTAGTTGTTGTGATCCTAATTTAAATCCTATTCATTTCATATGTAGAGATGGGACAACTCCACATATGAATACAGCTTGATCCCAACCTAAGCATGTGCCTGCCAAAGGAACATCTGAATCATAATAGATTTGCTTTAACTCTAACCATTCAAATGCAGCAAATTCAATAGTGTCAGCATCTGCTTAGAACAGTTTTGTATGTAGAATTTGTGCTGTATTGCCTCAGAGTACTGAAGCACTGAATAGAATCTTTTGCTGATTCTTGCACAAGCTTTTGCAATTGCCTAAGGCAGCACATGGCCTGCCTTTCGGAGAAACTTTGTTAGCCAAGTAGCAGAGGCTATAGGTTAGCTTTCCTCAACATGCTGCCTTTTAGATGCTTAAGACTACAATATGCGGAATTTATGACCGATCCCCAGGGTATCTGGGACTCATGGCAGTTAAAGTCCATAACATCTGGGGGAACATCAAGTTGGGGGAGGCTGTTAGCAATTCATCACGCAAACTCTTTGCCATTCTCTTACCCTCTTTTCATCCTCTCTGCATTCCATACTTATAGGCCTCAAAGGAGGAAGCCCATTTAATGGCACTCTTAATAATTTTCAGTACACAATCAATTGTTGATTGTTGGCTTAAATTCCTAATATTCTATTTAGCCCACTTTTTGTATATTGGAACATGTATATTTCTTGTTTGATGAGCATGTGCAAAACCCTGGCTGGCTATCAGGCAGTAAATACTGAAATTAAAATAACTTGCTTCAGTGATAGACAGGTGAAATGCTGGCCAAACATTATCACATGTTCACAACATTTACATAAACAGCACGGGGTTGGCTGAATGTCCTACTTTAAAAGCAAAAGGAATAAATTCTACAAGGGCCTTGAACCATCTTTCTCTGTATCTTACCTCCCCCAGTCAATTTCTCCAGCGATATTTGTCTGTTCCCAAAAAGGATCTTGTTTTCTCTGAATGCAGCTATCCATTCTGGGGAATTAGATGGAATCAGACAAGCCAAAGGTTATAACAATTCCAAAATCACCAGTGCCTCCACATGCAATTTCATATGTTACCCTAATTGCAGAATGAGAGTCTTACCTCTGAAACAGAAGGCTTATTTAACTTTTAAGAAAATTGTCAGGGCTTGCTTTGTACATCATATATGCCTTCAAATGTCCACCAGATTGTCAGGTTGGGTTTTCTACGTTGAGTCAACAAAGAAAGGTTCCCAGCTACTGTATAAGAAGGCTACTCCTTTGGGTTATCCTTGGCATAGTCACAACAGACCTTAAAGAGTAAAAAGAAGGTTGTTTGGACTGTCAGTATCACAGAGGTGAAATATAATAGTTTTCCCAGAAAAGTAATAAGCTCCTACCAAAGTGATTGGCATGACCTATTGTATGAAACAGCTGCAGGCTGCTGGAGAGAATACAGTGGCTTAAACACTCTCTTCCTTAGTGCTATTTCGCCTTCCCTACTCCAATTTTCTGAAGGCTTTTCTGAAGGCTGAAAACAGCCATTCACCGTTTTATTACAATTTGGGGAGAAAAACCCCAACACTCCTCTGGGACTAGGACTTGTTGCGATATGAGAAATATTCCTGTGGCTCTCACAGATTTCAGCCGGACAGCCCTAGGAAGAGTGAATTCGCCTTTGCTCTAGAGAAGAGAAACACTTTACTCAAAGGAACAAGCCAGATAATTGCTGCACAATCCAGTAGCAACTTATACAACCTGAACGTTATTTCTGCATATTGACATCAATGGTCAGCCAGACAAATGTAACACAATATGGAAAAAGATGCATGGCTATTTCAGTTTATGAATCTTGTATGAAGTTAACTTTGATATATTAATACATGTAATAATCAAAAATCTGAAATCTGGGACTATGTGCACACAAAGTATCCAATTTTGAAGGTGTTCACATAATAAAATAATTCTGTCATTCTCTCTATAAACAAACAAAATGGAGTGTTCTGGGGAAGTCCAAAAGATGTTGACATATATGTGTCATTAGCACAATCCTCTAATAAAAGGCCAACTTGGAAAATGCCATTTTTAGAACCGCACGTATATGACAGAAGGAAGAAAATGTACCGCCTGAGGATTCCATCTTTCTCTTTGGCTACTGTGCCCCAGGCATATTCCACACACAAAAGGCAGTAACTTTTCAACCACCATCTATCCCATATGAACCCTGGAGGAAGAGGCTGAGATGGAAGGTACACAGCCCTCATTAAGGTTCTCTCAGCTTCCTTAAAGATACTATGGGTCATCCTTCACAGATGGCAGCCCTCTGTTTGAAAACACTCTCTGTTATAAAGGCTTATCCCTGTCCAAGTCCAGTTAATGTCCACAAGAAGATTATTGATGTTACCATCAAAAGGCCGCACCTGGAAAGCAAATTGAGTGGGCCCATGGGTCACCTGGCCCAGTGACATGTGCTCTATGTGACTTCAATCAAAGCTTGGGGACTATAACGTTCTTTTTTTGTCCAAGCGTCTGGTTTATTACAACACTTACTGATGTAAGGCATATATGCAATGCATTGGGTTGCAGGCATCGCTCTGAACCTTTAGGCTTACAGAGTTTATATTGCAGGAGAGCTGTAGTTCAAAAATAGACCAGCTTTTGGGAAGGGACTAGATTTATAAGAATTTTGTTTCTTCTTGCACAATATGCTGATAGGCCTGGTTCACAAACTGGAATGTGAGTAGGAGAAAGTGTTTTCCAAATCTTTTTGCAAATTCTCACACTGATGCCCACCCTTGAAAAATACACAAATATGCACATTTTAACAAGAAAATGTGCATTATTGTACAGCTATAAAATGCATAATTTCATGGTTTAGTCTGTGTGAGAATTCATGCAACTTTAGAAATTGGGACAAGTGTCCATTTGGCACCATCTTCCCATTGACATCAAATGAATAATGATGGGAAATGTGAGTGCAAACTGAAGCAAGAGGACCATGAAAGGTCATCGGAGAATCTGGCTGAATGAGCTTGATGAGCTTGTTGGCTCATCAGGAGGCCAACAGAGCCTCCCATAACATTGCCACTGTGGACCAAAATACCTCCTCTGGTGCCACTTTCAAAACCTCAGATGCATTAGAAGGTCTGTTTGAACTGCTTCAGAAACTGCCAGCCGTTTATTCAGCTTAAACATGTTATCCTAGGTGTTTGGTCGCCATGCACCTGCGGCTTCTGATACTCCTTCTTTGTTTCTGGCCTTTTAGTAGTTGCACCTAAGCCTGTAACTTAGCTTTACAATAAGCTCAGAGCTGTGAATGATATTGTTATATGTTATCTCTTGAGATTCTATGCAGCACTGGAGATGGTAGAATTGTGTGCATATTATAAAATTGGAAATGCTAGTGATTTATAACAGCTGATGTTTGCTATTCCACCTGATTCTGTTTGGCACAGAAGAGGATTTTTGAGCATGGTTATTTAGGGCAAGCTGGGAGTTCTATGACTTCCCTTCTGTCTAAACATGCATAGGATTGCAGCCTTAATTTAGTTTCTTTGAGTAGTTTGCTCTGTGCATGTGTAAACATTTTTTTCTTCTCTCTCTCTCTCTCTCTTAATTTTTTTTTCTATTTATACATGATATGTTAATTTATTCAATGCTGAACTTGCTGTTTTGTTAGTTTTGTGTTTATTTAATTTTTATAATACATTGAAGTTGTTATTTGTATTGATGCCCTTCCCTTCCCTTCCCTAATTTCATATGGTGTAAGAGAAAAAGCAGCCATTGTTTTTACACTTGCATCTTTGCAAATTTCGTGCAAATCTCTTTTCCTTTTCAGTGATGTATTTTCTAATTTTGGGTGATTATTCATGGCTATCCAAGTATCCTGCAATGAATAATGAACTCGAAGAGGGCCAATAAAATGTTTAATTCTCTATTTCCCTCGTACCACTTTCCTTGCTCCTCCCCTGCCTGCACATGGGATTCCTGTTTCCTCTAGCCTTTATTTTCCTGCTCATTCCCACAGCCGGCCATTCCCACAATGGGCAGAGGTGCACCCAAGGCATGGAGCAAGCTGCCACTGCGGTGGCAATTCGTGTCGCTGCCGTGCCTCACATCACGTAGTTTATCCAGTCGGCCAGGTGTGGGGCACCTGCGAGAGGGTAGGACGGAGGCCCTGCCTTTGACATCCCAGTTCTGCTCTTGCAGAAACTTGGCGCTGAGGCTCCAGATAATTCTGTACTCCTCTCCCCAGCATTGGGAGAGCATGGGATTGTGACCCAGGTAACTAAAGGATTAGGAGACGCTCTCAATGTTGTTAAAGCCGGCAGACCAGGCGAGTGCATCCTCACTGTGAGGATCAAGGGGTCATTGACCCCTTCCCCTTAATTTTCCTTGCATTGGCTGCCATGGCTGTTGACTGGGAGCTAAGAGAGCATCTGCCATCAAAAACCACCATCTCACATCTCAATCTGCTAAGGAGAAGCCTGGCGCATCTCCTACACCTTCCTCTGATCCCCAGGCTAAGGTAACACATTTGCACATGGATGACCTTTTTTTGTTTAGTCACAAAGTCATGCCTGACCCATCGTGACCCCATGGACAACATTCCTCCAGGCCCTGCTCTCCTCCACCATCCCCGGAGTCCACCCAAGCCCACACCAACTGCTTCAGTGACTCCATGTCGCCACCTCATCCTCCGCCATCTCCTCCTCCTTTTGCCATCAATTGTTCCCAGCATCAGGGTCTTCTCCAGGGAGTTGCTCCATATGCTACAATATTTTGTGGCAGGTCACACTTGTGTGATTCATGACAGCATCTAGAGTTGAGATTCTGCGTGGACTGGATTATGCTTCCTGTGTACGAAATGGTCACAGTTACTTGCTTCTTCCCATCAGATGTTGCGGTAGATGGCCCACAAAATGGTTCATGCCCTCAACCATGGGATATTAAGGTCCAGAGACCACAGATGTTTCAGGAAGACACAAAGAAGTTCCGTGTACCACACTCTTCTTCAGTCAAGGTAATGTATTTATTGGTTGTTTGAAAACTTATCCCAGACACCCTTAGTTTTCAAATGGTACTGGGCAGATTGCTTAAACTTTTTGTAATGGTAGTGCAAGTACTGAAGTACTTTTTGTTGAGAGTCTCAGTAATATACTCAAACATACAGGGACATTTTGCATCATGCACAAGTAAATTAAACATTGTGAATCACAATGAAACAAGTATAAAATAGTACAAAAGAAAACATCTGAAAGGAAAATAGTGCCAAAGACCAAACATCAAATGACCTAAAAGTGCCATGTGAGCCTCTCTGGGGAGAACATTCTGCAAACAGGGTGCCACCACTGAAGAGGCCATCTTTCTTGTAGCTGCGTAGTTTGCCTCATTTGGTGAGAGGGCTCGGAAGAGGACTCTGGATGATGACTGTACTATCCAAGACAGGAAGTTCTGTCTTCTAGGGGAAGATTCTCCTTCATGTAAACTGGCCATTTAGGGATCTAGAGGTTAACATTTAATTGCTGGAGATGCTTGGCAGAAACTTAACTGTGTGTACCTTTGTATATTTCAGGAATGTCATAAGTGCCATGGGCGTGGACGATACAAATGTGGTGGGTGCCATGGCGGAGGACAAGTAAGTACCGGCCATGCCTGCTTCATTTCAGGTCCTCCTATCTTTCCCACTGATGTGGAATCGTGCTCACTTACTGGTCAACAATGCTGTTTAAAAGTTTAATGTTGTGATGTATAGAGTTAAAATTGAAAGCCTGTTTCTAAGGTTTCATTCTTAGAACAACGAGTCGTATGATCATAGGCTAATGTTTTGGGGGGTGGACTCACATATGCCCCACAACACACCCAGTACTCTACACCTAGAATATGTCACATGAGGAAGATGGAAAGTAGGAACCATCTAGGGCCAAAGCAGACATGACTTTAAATCCACGTCTTTCTCGGTTTTCAGCTTTGCTCTCAAGTAGGTGCAGGGGTCCTCACTCTTAAAATCTCCCACCCCTACCCCATGGCCTCACTCTGGATCAGGGCCCTTGTGCATAACACTAGGGAGAGAAAAAAAGAACACATGGCTGCTAGATACGGATTGAGAGTTGTGTCCGTTTTCAGTGAGCTCCATGGCTGACTGGGAACCAAACCCAGATCTCCTGAGTCCCAGCCCAGCACTCTTAACTATCACCCCACAGATAGGGAATGTTATTACTGGGGAAACGGGGCATTAGAATCATGACATATTACACTGGGGCACCTGTACCTAGATACAGCAGGATCTTTCTGAAACGTGTGTTGAATGAAATACTTGCAGCATTATTGGGAAATCCAAAAAATTACTGAAACATGTGTTCTCACAAGATGCAAGTCTTCATATGTGTGGACAGGAGCTCCCTTCATTTCTTGTTTAATGCTAAGGGAAGCTGTCATCTGGATAGAGCCTTAGCTAATGTAGAAGTTGCTCAAGTAGACGAAGTCCATTCAGGGCTTGATAGGTCAAAACTAGCACATGATGAGATATGGGAGCCCAGCAATAAGCAACTGTAATGAATAACAGCTGGTGACTTGACATCCTGGGAGGAATTTCCTACTGACCCTGAGCAGCAATCCAAGGGGCAGAAAAAGGGAAGTGTTTCCTTCTGTCTGGAGGCAGGTAGTAGTGGGAAGAGGTGACAGTTTGGGACCGTGTCTGCCTACTGATTGGCTGAGAGGTCTCGCGGTCACCGGAGTCTGCCCCAGGGAGGATAGCCAGTCAGCAGTTGTGCACTGGCAAGGTGCACTGCTAAATGGTCCAGAGCCTGCTGCCAACTCCTTAGGGCAGCCAATAGGCGACGTGCTTCCTCCTCCTTTTTGATGGTCTGGGAGCAGGCAGCTCCTGCCAGCACATCACCTCTTAGCTGCCAGTGGTAAATCTGAGCTCAAATGTCTCTTTGTCTAATTACTTCGTTAACATAACTGAATCCATATACCAATGTAAGGAAAATGAATGCCATGTATATAAAAAAGTACCCATGCTGTTTTGGAAAATGGTATGCTCAGGCAGGCAGGAGTCTTTTAAAACGTTTTGGAAAAAACGGTTACTTCTAGAATTGGGTGATACATTATTTGTGTCCCTGCAGATGCGGTGTGTTACATGCAGTGGAGTCAAGCATAAAGCCAAAGCGAAACATCTGAAGCATCAGAAAAGGTGCCCGATGTGTTCAGGCAGTGGACGCAAAAGGTGAGGTGCTCAGGAATGGAGCTGGTTATTTAATTTTTCCAAACGGTAGCCGCCATCACCACCACCATCGCCATCCATTTTATTTCAATAGTTGAATGCCTCTGGCCAGTTTGCAACAATTTATCGAGGTACAATAATAAAAAACAGATACAAAAAATACAGATACAATAAAACACAGTGTGGAATTCCAATATACTCAATTTAAAACAGATCAAACATTGAAAATAGTTTGGTTAAGAACTAGTCCTGATTTCAAACAACTGGGATATCCCGTCCTCTGCCACTGAATGCCTGAGAGCAGACGTGGGTGCCAGGCAGGTGACAGTGGGAAGAGCATTCCAAACCTGGGGGGAAGCCACTGAGAAGGTCTGTACCTTGTTGCCTGTTTTCGGGCTTATCTTGGAGGTGGCTATTGAAGTAAAGCTCCTGGTACAGATCTTAGAGTCTTGAAGAGAGGCATTCTGTCAGGTATGGCATTCCAAGCCTTTAGGGCTTTTTAGGTTAAAACCGGCACCTGGACCTGCCCTGGTACAGGCAGTCCATGCAAGCAGGTCAGAGATGATATTTGGACCTTCTAGTTTCAAGTATGAACCTGGCTGCCACATTTTGCACAGGTTACAGCATGTGAAGTCTTCATGGGCTGCCCCATGCACCGTGCATTGCAGTCATCCAGTTTAGCAATTACTAGATCATCGATTACTGAAGCCAGGCTGTTCCTGTCCAGATAGGAATGCTGGAACTGGTAAAAGGCAATCTGCGCCTCCGCCCCAAGGCAAATATTCAGGCCCTAAACATTCAGGGAACGAATGGCCCACCAAGGCTCTGTTTGCTATCGGTGGGGGAAGCTGCAGGGCATCCTCAGGAGTGGATGCAGAGGAGAAGAGCCCCATTGTCCTTGGCTCTCACCTGTTAGCTCACACAGCAGGCTCACCTCTCCAGTGAGATACTTGAAGGGAGTTGTCAGAAACAAGCACTCGGTGCTCCTCCCAGTTTCCTTTAAGGTGCCAGCGAATGCTCTAGAAGGCCACAGGTTGCTCATCTTGGCTGCAGAGAATGCCAAAGTCCTACGTGTATTTAGGGGCTCTATGGACATTGCTTTACTAGATCATCTCTGCCAACACCAGGGAAATATTATTTTGTATCCAGGGAGGCTTAATATAAAATAACTTGGCTTTATTGTCCATCTAAATTTATAAACCATGGATTGAAGGAGAAACATGCATGGTATTTTAAAATAAATTCTCTTCGAGTGTAGTCCAGTGGGATACCTGTAGCCATCCAAACTTAGAGGATTCCAGGCATTCTGTGCAGATGCTGTCTTCAGCCATTTGATTGCTTTGTTAGAATACAATCACAGGCATGCTCAGACAGAGAAATGTCCTGTAACACTGGCCGGGGAGTGCTGTAGGATTTTTTCCCGTCCAAATATACATAGGCTTAGAGGTTTTCTTTACTGCAAAGGTGCTGCTGTATTTGTTTTGTTCTAAAACTCCTGCTGTCCCTCACTATCGGCTATGTTGGCTAGGACTGAGGAGAGCTGTTGGCCAAAAGTCCTGGAGGGCCACAAGGTATCCATTTTTGCTCTACAGTGGTTGCTTCATTAGCAGAGCTGTGGTCCAAGGACATTGCTTTAATGTCATGCTGCAACACTTCTAGAAACTCCACAGCATTGACACGTAGTGGCGGTGAATTATAGGCAAGAATCAAATGTGAAATCAGCAGCATCACTTCTCTGAATAGCTTTAAGGACAGGCTTCTTGCTCTTGGAGCCTGAGCGGCTTGCGTATCTAGTCTGGGCAAAAAGCAAGATGGTTTGTGGACTGGAGGCATGGATCTGCCATTGCAGAGGTATTGGAGTGCATCTGGCCAGTCACCCTGATACCTTGCATGGAGAAAGGCAGGGTATTAATGGACACCATTGGAGCCATGCAGGCCAAAAAGGTGAAACAAAAGAGAAAAGAGAAAGATGTAAGTTTGTCTCTTCCCACAAAAGTCTGCTTTGGAGAAGAGGGGCAAACTTTTATCAGTTCAATACCTAATAATAATACAACACTAACAAGCCAACTCAAACTTAATTACAGAATTAATGCATTTCCAGTCCACTGAGGTCTATAGCCCTCAATTATCAATGGGCGATGTCTTTTTAAGTCACATCTGTACAGCATAACCTTTCTCTCTGATAATAATCCCTTATTAAAAAGGAAATCTTGAACTCCACCTAACAGCATAGCAATGCCTGCATTGCTTTCACTATGCACATTATAGCCATATTATTGTTATTGTTACTACTTTGCATTCATATCCTGGCCCTTTTCCTCTTACGTGGAACCCAGTGTGGCTCACATGGCTCCATATTATCCTTGCAACAACAGCCCTGTGAGGTAAGCTGGGCTGAGAGCCTGTGAAGGGCCCAAAGTTACCCAGTGAACTTCATGGCTGAGTGGTCCTCAGTCCATCACTGCTCTCAATGAGCCACACGGGCCCTTGAAGGAAGGAGGGTGAGCAGCTTGGGCAGCTGCAACCAGCACCTGCTCAACAGGAGGTTGGATGCCAAGACTCTCGGAATGACTTGAGCTGCAGGTTTTTCCTGCAAAGTTTCGATCCACATCTGACATTTTCGCATTCAAGGTTGTGTGCCTCTTAGAGAACTCCTGTCCTTTTGCTTCTCCAGCTGCTAAACGAGTTGACTTTACAGTGATCTTCGAGTGATGCTTGCATGCCCAGCCCTGGGGAGGGGCCATTCTTTTAGATGGTTTTATTCCGCTCCATTAAGCTTAAAATAACAGAGGTTGCATTGCGGTATAATTGTGGCAATAATTTAAACACGGGGATCTGTTGGGGCTAACAATGTCTCAAAGTACTTTAATAAATCAGCAGCTAATTGCCGCTAATCTGCGTCATGTTGGTGCAATCCAAATTTGCCAAGAATAAACATATGCCTTCTACATCTGTTGGAGGCAGAATTATACTTTCCTTGAAAGGGTCACCTAGTCTTCTATAGTTGTGAAGGGAAATAGACATACAGATGTCTTTTAATTTCCTTCACTGACATCTTTGTTTCCAAACAATCTTTGTGCTGCTAGTGCAGATCGGGCCATTCAGACAACTCTCTGTTGAATCAGAGAGTTAATTAAGAAGTACATGTCCTAAACATTTACCTCGGTAGCCAAGGTGGCACAGAATGGACCCAAAATAACTGCAGGGGAGCAATACTGTGGGTGTTTAGACTGAAAATCAGGGTGCATTATGCCCCCTAAGATAAAACCCCATGGTGCAATTCTTTCCATGCTGGCTGAGGCCGCAAAGGGGGGAGGGACTATACCTTTGGGATGGGGAGGGGGCTGGAGCTTCTGGGGGGCAAGGGCAAGACACCACCAAATCCCATTGGAGCCTCAGCCTTCCTCTTTGTGAGAGGGGGAAAAACATCTGGATGGGCAGATCTAAATGTTTCTGAGGGTGAGAGAGGCATGGAGACATGCTTGCTTGGATGCTCACAACCTTCAACCTGAGAAGGTTCTGGGCAGCTGCATAGAACTCGAGGCTCTTCATATGCTCTCTCTCCACATCTCTTTTTCCCTTTGGAAGGATCTTCTCTTCTCTTTCTCTCTCTGGCTAAGGATATCATCCTACTCAAGTTTTGTCAGAAAAAAGCACGGCTATCTGGGGCATGCAGGAAGCTGTAGGCCTTTCATTGGTCAAATTATGCTTTAAATGCCCTCTGTCTTGGAGTGAGAAGGATGGCTGCAGGGATTGCTCAGGCTCCGAACTGGAAAGTGAAGCAGATCGAGGGGGAGTTGGGGAGGATGGGCCTTGCTGAGACACTGAGATGAGGGAAGTGGATGCTCTTATCTCCAGGCCAGACTCCTCAGGGGGAAGGCAGGCTGAGGAGCCAGAGGGCAGGGACTCTGAGAATGAGTGCTTCTCAAACACAGACCAGGAAGCCCCGGCTCTTGACCCCGTGATGAGGTCTCAGCAGGGACAGGCACCCAATGAGACGATTGGCACATGGAGAAGAGGCGTGCCTGCTTTCAGAGAGCGCCTCCCGGAGGAATGTTCCTGGAAGTGAATACTAGATTGGGTTGAACAAACCACTCTGTGCATGCTCAGAGATTTGTTCTGGTGATTTGTACTTTTGGGTCAATAAAGAATGCTTTGCAAGGGAAGTGGTCTGTGGCTTTTCAGTGCTTGAAGGAGGAAACCTTGATACCTTTGATATGCAACAAAGTCATAAATCATGACTTCCATTTGGATGTTTTTCTGGGAACCTGATGGTACCCACTGTGCCACTCGATTATCAACCTGCATAGATGGTTAAAGAAGGTGTATATACGGTTATCATTCTTCTGGTTTCTTCGACGCGGGCTACAAATCTGCCACATTCATGTGTAGGTATACTTCAGTAGCCATTCAAGTAACAACATTCCTCCTATATTTTGTACTTAGCTTTTCAGAGTTGTCCCCCTGCAACTCACTGCTATTTAGCATGGAGAAAACTGCATTTAGAATATGCTAGTAAATGCCCACCCTTCCATTTTACATTTCAAAGGTGCAACACTTGTTCTGGAAGAGGCAACAAAAGCTGTACGACTTGCCAAGGCGAGAAAAAGTTGCTTCACTTCCTTCAACTGATCATAACTTGGTATGTGATCTTGTCGCTGTTGCCATTCCAGGGCTGGCAATGAATCGCCACGACTACCGAAGACTCTTATAAGGCCAGATTCCTCCTTAATAAGGGTTTTTCTACAGAAGGCTGTAGCTGCTTTGTGTAAAATGCAAACTTCCTAGCCATTATACATAGTCTAGTATATGAAATTGGACCAAGGATCCAAATACATACGCACTTGAAGGTGTCACCTGTTCAAATATTAAAAGGGTTGCAAGGGGCAAGTGCATTATTTTAAACCCCATGCACATCAGCAAGTCTTAAAGACTGTTCCAGTGCAAAATTTATCTGTGTATTAACCTCAAAAAGAGGCAGCTGTTAGACATTGTTGAAGCATATATTTTAAAAAGAAGCATTAACTGCCTTGCACTGCCAGCAATTAGCCAAATTAAACCATTCCTTATTAAAGAGACCTTGAGGGGGTCAATAGACATGAACAAATGCTGAATTAGAAGCAGCCCAAGATCTACAGACTTGACAGGGAGGTGCCAAAGCAGGGGCCCACTGAGCAGACAGTCTGTAGCGGTGCCCACAGGTGGTTCTGCTCAAGGGGTCCCGAGAAGGCTGGGGGCAAGTGTTCTACGTGGCCCCCTGGTATAGCACAACAGCCCAAATGCACAAGTGAAAGGGGGCTTTTCTTCTCCTCTTACAAGTAATAACTGAAGGGAAACTAGATTGTCATCTAAAGAACCATTAAGCAGCCACAAGAAGGAATGACGAATGCAGAAGAACATCTCGTGTGGAACATCTCAAATAGCCAATAAGCTCCCACCTTCTCCCCTGTAGGAGACTGGAGACAGCAGGTCTTTTTTCATGCTTCTCTCCTCATAATTAGGGAACACCTGGAGGGAAGCCACACCGTAACCACCAGCCCTGGCCCTGATTTTTGCCCTGGCCCTGATCTCTGAAGACTGGCCTGAATGGAAGGCAGGGGCTATGAGAAGAGGGTTCTGCCAGGGACAGATCCATGCACACGAATGGATGCAGTTATTCATTTCTTTATTAATGTTCTGCCTTTCTTCCTGTTGCAAGAGGGTCAAAGTGGCTTACGTGGCCCCCTCCTCTCCAATTCTATCCTCACAGCAACCCTGTGAGGTAAGTTAGGCTGAGAGTCGACGAGCGTCGCATACTCACCTCATGAGCTTCATGGCTGAGTGAGGACTTGCACCTGGGTCCCCCTAGTCCCAGTCTAGCACTCTCACCACTGCACTACACTGGCTCTTAGTGCACATTTGTGGACAGGGAGACAGGTACACACCTGTAATGCCCGTGACCTGTACTTCGGGCTTTTAAGTCTGCTTTACTATTTTGATTTTATAGAAACTTAGGAGTTCTTTCAGTAAGCTTTACTGAAGTTGGGGGAAGCTGCTAAAGGTAAAAGCACAATAAAGCATTTCTTGATTGATTGAGTGTATCTTAAATCCTTTAACATTCTGGATAGGGTCATATGCTCTTCACTTCTTACGAAATAATATCTGTCCATGTACTAAAAAGCTCATAATGCAAAAGGTTGCTTGTGTGGTGCCTTGTTAAGGATTTTCCACTTCAGTTTTCTAGACAGAAGCCTAGTGAAAAATATTTGCAATTCAAATTTCTGTAAACAACATTTGAATCCAGTTGTGGCTTGAAAATTTGAAGGCAGCTAAAGTTTTGTGGGCATGAGTTTGATTCAAGATAATTAAACTTCTAAAAGATTCAGTGGAATGGGAATTGAAGGGAATTAGCCTGGCTGGCCACTGTGGGGAACAGGATGTTGCACTCCGTGTGCCTTTGGCCTGATCCAGCAGGGCCCTTCTTCTTTTCTTATCTACGACAATTCACAGCTTTATCTCTTTTTCTTAGGGAGCATTTCTTGAAAAATAAATCAGATAGGTCTGAAGGTCTTCTGAGTTACTCCCCAAATCAGCCATAGATTGGCAATATTTTAGGAATCCCATGGGAGATTTTTCTGTTCGTAGAAACTGCCGACAAAGACACCAGCACCACAATTCTGAATTGACCCCTAATCCTGATCTGAGGCACCCTCTTCCAACATTGCTTTAGGCAAGACCAGCACAAGCGAGAACGTCAGTCCATGCTCCTTTTAGGAATACCATCCCCGCTTTCCTGCAGATCTGTCTCCTGGTGTTTTCATCCAACTGTTATGCCCACTAAATATTTTAACCCCCCTCTCCCAAGCCTGCTAATCCTTTTTTCTACGAATAATGTTATTTTGGCATCAGACGGACTAGCAAGTGAAAACTTGTGTTTCCTGTTGCTCTACGTTTCTGTGAGGAGCTCTGTGTGACTTTCTGCCAGCCCTGGTGTCTTTCAGATATTTTGGGCTTCGATCCCAATGGTCCCAGCCTGAGAACATGAGGTCAGGCACATGGGGAGTTCCAGTCTAAGACATCTGGAGGAAAGCACGTCCCGGAAGTCTGTGTGATGTCATGCGCTGCTTTCTTAGATGGCAAGATTGCCATATAACTGCAATGAAAAAAACGTTTCTTTTCATCTTCAGACAGAGTTTCTTTCTTTGGATGTTCTCTGCATGAGGCATTTATTCCACAGCCTAGCTGAAGCTGCTTCTTCCATTTTCACTGCAGGGGGAAGAAAGTGCCCTTTCACATGATTTCTTGCCCCCATAGGGGTTTAATTTCTCTGCCTTCTTATACGTTTTACTAAACAACCACAATGTGGTGTTGCCACACAAAGCAGCTGCAAAAAACTCACAGCCATTTTTTGCACTGCCTGGTGCCCCAGGAGATAATGTTGTGCTTTCTTTGTTCTAAAAGAAGCTGTGAAAATGGCTGACAAAACACGAGAGAGGTCCTGGAGGAAAGGCTGAGATAACATGATGATGTTGTGAAAAGGACCTGCAAACTTCCATGAGTGAAGGACCATAAGGGCACAATAAATGTCTCGTGCAGAGATGTTTGGTTTGTGTTCTATAAGGTGAGCACAAATGCTTTGCAGGCCTAACAGAACCGTTTCCTAAAGAGTGCCTTACCCTGACCTTAGAATCTTCCTCAGCTACACCTCCTTAACATTCCTCCTTCGGCTATTTTTAGCCATACCGACACAAGAGAGGCAAGAGAACTCTGAAGTCATCTTGATACACTAGAAGTTGTACATAGAATTCAAAGCAATATTCTGGCAGGAGTAACTCTCTGAAAATGTTTTGGATGTTAATCAATAGACACGCATGTTTTCCCTAATAGAACAGTACAAGTTACAGTGGAAAACTTGTTCAAGAAAAAGGGGAAGGTGATAAACATCGCCTTCTTTTCCAGGACCATCACATTGGTCCAATGATTCAAGGACCCTCAAGGACCTTGAAGTCAAGGATTTCACCACAAGGAACTTCAAGTGATGGGAAGGCAGATTATGGATCTCCATTTTGTCTAGTTTGGCTGCGAAATTCTCTTTATCCAGTAGAGAAGTCTCTGTTTCCCTATTATTATTATTATTATTATTATTATTATTATTATTATTATTATTAT